GTGCTTATTTCACCAAACTGAGATGGAGTTTTTGGGATTCATCGCGACTACAGAAGGATTGAAGATGGATCCAAAGAAGGTGGAAGCAATCATGTCTTGGGAAGTTCCGAAGACGGTTAGGGACGTACAATGTTTTCTTGGATTTGCTAATTACTATCGGATCTTCATCAAGAATTATTCTCAAGTTGCTGCCCCCCTCACTCGGTTAACGTGCAAGGACAAGCTCGAATGGAGACCTATCGCAAAAAAAGCATTCCAAGATTTGAAGATGGTATTTACTACAGCTCCAATCTTGGTACATCCGGACTTTACAAAGGCCTTTTATTTGGAGACAGATGCTTCGGATTTTGCTTTGGGAGTTGTACTTTCACAGATGGGCGTAGATGAGAAGCTCCATCCAGTTGCGTTCTATTCTCGAAAATTCTCTACTGCTGAGATCAACTATGAGATCCACGATAAGGAACTCCTTGCTATAGTAGATTCTTTCCAAGAGTGGCGCCACTTTCTCGAAGGAACTGCACATCCAGTGACCGTATATACGGATCACAAGAATTTGGAGTATTTTATGTCGGCTCGGGTTTTGAATTGGCGTCAAGCTCGGTGGAGTATGTCGCTATCCAGGTTCGACTTTGTTATTACTTATGGGCCTGAGAAGCAACAAGGGTTGTCCGATGCATTATCAAGGAGATCATATCTCGCGCCAAAGGCTGGAGATGCAGCATTTGATCAACAGTGCACGACATTGTTGAAGCCAGAGAAATTTCGACTCAACGCAGCTATTGTACCAATTGATGCTGACTTCTTCGACTAGGTACGGGCCGCAACCATTGAAGATTCTCTAGCCCTTGATATCAAGCAACATGCTAGTGATGATAAATTCAAGATGGAAGGAGATCTAGTATATTTCGAAGAGCGGTTGTATATCCCAAAAGGGCCAACACGACTCCGAGTTCTTCAATCTCGTCATGACTTTCCAACTGCGGGACATTTTGGATTCAATAAGACCTTGGAACTTATTTCCCGCGATTTTTGGTGGCCTCAAATGTGGAAGGATGTGAAAGATTTTGTTGTATCTTGTGACATTTGTTCAAGATCCAAAAACCCTCGACATCGGCCTTATGGACTTCTATAGCCATTGCCTATTCCGCGCCAACCATGGTCTTCGGTTTCTATGGACTTTATTACGGATCTACCACCATCGAATTCATTTGACAGCATTTTTGTTGTCGTAGATCGGCTTACAAAGATGGCACATTTTGTCCCTTGCAAGAAGACATCGTCAAGCGAAGACACAGCAAGACTCTTTCTTGATAATGTGTATCGATATCATGGTCTACCAGATGATATCGTATCGGATCGAGGAACCCAGTTTGTGTCAAAGTTTTGGAAATCTCTTTTTGAAATATTGAAGGTGGATATCAAGCTTTCTTCAGCATTTCATCCTCAAACGGACGGCCAAACAAAACGAGTGAATCAAGTTTTAGAGCAATATTTACGTTGCACCATCAACTATCAACAAGATGATTGGGCCGCATATCTACCGCTAGCCGAGTTCGCATATAACAACACCCTTCATGCGTCAACTCAACAAACGCCATTCTTTTCCAATTATGGATACCATCCGAAGCTTGACTTATGGAGTTCATCAACGATTAACAATCCGGCAGCTGAAGGATTGGTGAAGGAGCTTTCGCAACTTCAAACTATATTAAAGCTTCAATTGCAAAGTGCCCAAGAATCTTACAAGGCGTCCGCGGATAAATTTCGGAATCAGGCACCTAAATTCACGATTGGAGACAAAGTTTGGCTGCTTCGACGAAATATTAAGACCAAGCGGCCATGTGACAAATTGGACTATCGGAGATTGGGACCATTTGTTATCCAGAAGCAGATCAATCCTGTAGCGTATCGTTTAGAGTTACCAGCTACTATGAAGGTACATCCTGTCTTTCATGTTTCTTTGTTGGAGCCTTATCGAGAATCGTCTTTTCCTGGAAGAGTACAATATCCACCACCTAGCATAGAAATAGAGAACCACGAAGAATACGAGGTGAAAAAGGTCCTGGATTCTCGGCAAAGACGGGATGAATTAGAATACTTTGTGCATTGGAGCGGTTACGATATTAATGAACGAACATGGGAGCCGACCGAAAATCTCACGAATGCGCCGCAAAAGGTACAGGAGTTTCATCGACGATATCCTGAGAAATCCAAGTCGGTTCGACGATAGCTTCTTACTGAAGCTTGCTCATCCAGAAAACAGAAAAGAGGAGAGAGCACCGCCAAAATCCATAGTTGATGTAGTCATTCTCTCCAAGATAGCGTAGAACTTTGTTAGTAGCCCAAGTTTGTTCTTATTGTTTTAGCCTTTGAATATGGATAACCAAGATACTACACTTGTCATGTCATCTCAAGCAACTAGCTCACGAAGACGACCGCGAGATAAACAACCGCCTGCACCACGACGACATCGAAGGATTCCGAGCAACAGATCGCTGGTGATTGTATTTGAGGTCGAGCCTGCCTACAATGGTCAGCCAGAAGGAGTGTTTGCAGGACAATTTCACAATGAAGACACGGAGGTTCATGCTTGGTCAAAAGTTGAAGGCGTGGGCCACTACCGTTGGCTTCAAGGACCATTGAATCACTTGCCTCGTGAACAACAATTGGAGTTCATAGCAGAGGTTATGCGACAGATCTTCATTTTCTTGCGTTGGTATTGACTGACGATAACATTGCTTCTCGGAGACCTCGAAGCTAAAGGAGGAGGTGATGTTAGGGACATAGTCCTTAGACCTTTCTAGAGACAAGTTTCTAGAACCTTCTAGAAAGAAGTCTCTAGAAACTTCCAGAAGATTCTTTGAATATTTTCTTAGAATATTCTTCAAAGATTTCCTAAAGATTCTCTTAGAAGGCTTTAGAAGATTCTTAGAATATTTTAGTAGATTCTAGGAAGTTACTTGAGAAGCTTCCTAGCTCTTGGGTAGTTGCTCGAGAAGCTTCATAGTTCTTGGGAAGCTTCTTGATACGCTTCCTTAGAACCATAGGCCAGTAGTATATATAGGAGTCGAGGCTGAAGAGTTCTTCAGTCTCGACAACACATCTCTTGGAGTTCTAGCTCACCTTTTTGGTGTTGTTCTTGTACTCATCTGTTTAATCTAGTTCTGCCACTTCTTCTTGAACTTCTTGTTAGATTTCAAGTCTGTATTTTGTGTCCGTGACACCTCTTGTATAAGCTTTGCCACTCTTCAATCACCCCTCTTTTCTCACAAAATACTTCTAACCTTACAAAAAAAAAAAACTTCTTGAGAAAATAGAACAATCTCTTAAGAAGTTAAGTACATGAAAGCACAAAGTTAGAACACCAATGATAAATCTCAGCAAAGAAATATAACACTAGACTTCTAAAACATCATTATATGGAGTTTAACAACAACAAAGTCTATAAGTGTACTTAACAATAAATAAGAGTAAAATTACATCAACAACTAAATGCATAAAAAGGATTAAAAGATAACAAACTCAAACTTGAGCAATAACCATAAGATCTATTCTATACAACAAGAAAGACTTCAAAGTACTTCAAAACTCACAAGTAAAGGTAAGTGGGCCCATAACCTATTAAGAAAACAAGTACTTAGAAGACACAACACTTAGCATCAGCAAGGTTGTACACAAAGAGAGTATGGAATAAGATATCTCTCACTTCCAACACCCATTACTTATAGGTGGTAGTTGTTGCCCTAAAAGACAACGTCTATTCTTTGACTTTTACACACATGGCCCTAGGATCCTTTTGGCATCTCATGAGTCCCAAAAGTATCCTATGTCCAATACTAATTACTCTTACGTCTTACACACATGCTCTTAGGATCCTTTGGCATCTCATGAACTTCAAGGGTATCTTATAACACATACTAATGATTCATACTTAGTCTTTGGATATTCCCTTGTTAATACTTTATTCTTTTGACTTTGACTCTTGGTCCATGACTTCATCCTATATCCATTGGATGCCCTTACCATATACCAAGAGTCAAATCTTTGACCACTGGCAACTTACCTAAGATAATATCCTATACAAGGTAACATTTTTTACTTTTACTTTAACAATTTTAGCTACAACTAGATTTACAAAAGAAGGTAACTTAGAATCCAATAACAATCCTCGACAATAGCAAGAGGAAGAATAAAGTGCCGGAAGCTTTAATTAAGCATGTTTTTTGAAGCAACAAAATAGTTGAGTAAGTCTCAACAAAGATAAAATTCATAGGCAACAATGGCAATCATATAAATCAATAAAGAAAAAAAAAAGAAATAGGAAAAAAACCACCAAATTTAAGTATGATTTCAAGTTTCAAAAGTCTAAGAGAAAAAATGGACCTTGTGCAACCTATAGTTTTGGTAAGCAAAGAAGCAGTTATTAGGGATCTTTAGGATCCCAACTACTTGATTTTTAGAGATCCTTAGGGTCTCAACTACTTTGCATTTCTTGTATTTTTTAAGTTTCATTTTTTGTTGGATATTCAAAAATCCTTCTTTTTCTATTTATGTTATATTCTAAGTTATATTATATATATATATATATATATATATATTAAAATTTTAAAAAGTTAAATTATTATTACATATTACGTAATTGCAAAAATAAATTAAGTAGTGTGATGAGACACACTAAAAACAAGTTGATGACCAATTTCTAAATAATCATATGATTGGCTCATAGAAAAATTAAGGTCTGTCCAATTAATGATGCAACACTAGGTCAATAAGATCAAGCATGGATATAACAAATAAGTGGCGATGATATGTTCAAAGTAAGATAGAAATTTCATCGCACTATGAGAGCTAAAATGTGCACATACTCAATCCCATGGACACAAGCTTCACACAATCTAGCATAAGAAGTTGAATACCTTGCCTCACAATCCAACTTCTATCAAATAAAGTGAAATAAATTGGAATCCTTGTCAGTCACGCTGACGGATTCCTCCACTCAAGATCAGTCAGTGCCTCTCAAGTTCAAACTCTGCCATGGTCATGGTGGTGGACGAGATTATTGCTCTTCATTGCATGCTTTACAGCTCTCCTTGGGAACGGAGTCCCCACAATGGTTTCGATTATGGGGGGGGTAGTTGTTGTTTCTACCACTTTGCAAGGCGTCTCAGTTTTTCCAAACAGTGGAGCTCAAAGTGAGAGAGTCCTGCTATCTACTACTCATTTCTTTTGGTCTGCTGCCACAACTTCTTCAATGACTTGCACAGTTCAGAATGGGAAGGCCTCGGATATATACTTGACGGTGACCCCATGTTGCGATTTTCATCCCGATGAGTCTTCTCCCCTCTTGTCATTGAATCCAATTTCTGCTCAAGAATTCATTCCATCGTTGAAAAGGCGGATCGTCCAAGGCGGAGGGAGCAAGGCGAAAGTGATTCTGCCCCGCGATCCGCGCATCAAATTCGATGCGAAAGAAGAATCGTGATTTTGTCCGGAGATTTGCTTGCTGTACCCACTTTCTTAAGTGTTGATTCGTGGGGCAGTTTTTTCCAAATGAAGCACATGCTCCAAACGAATTTCTCCAGAGAGTCAATACATGTTTGAAAATGAATTGACAATAGTTTGGTCCACTATGACTTTTACTCCAATGTATCTCTGGTGGCAAGAATCTAGCACAGCTGTGGGCTGAATCTTTTCGGGACTAATTCTCTCGTACAGCTTTGGGTGGGGGGTATATTCTGATCCCCCCCTTCTCAAACCAAGTCTCTTCTGTCTGCTGCAGTGACAAAGTTGTGGCAACAGGGAGAGATCGCCAGAATTACTCCCACATGGACACGAACCGCGTTGCTCCGAACTCTGGTGTTCGTAATAACCTTGCTGCTGCTTCTGCTTCAACATGACGTCGCCGGAACCTTGGATGGACTGTTCGTGTCCGGCAAGGACTGATCAAGTGCGAGCCTTCATACCACTGTCGCACCCTTTGCAACGCGACTCCTTGAATGTATGTTCGCCACCGACTTTAACACCTACTAATCAAGTAACTTTAGCATGTGTAGGTGTAAATAAAGGGCAGCTTAACTTTAGGAAGTGAGCTTAAGCTGGATTTCGAAAGCTGTTATTGGCAGCGTCTGAAAGCTAAGGATTTACGTTCTGCGTCCAAGACGTGCCTGGTGTGATATTCACATGTCACCACGCGGAATCTCGTGAAATAGAATGGAACCCACTGTTTTCCCTGGCATTCAGTTTTCATTCATGAACACTCTCTGTGGCATTGGTATTTGGGAATGTAAAATAGGTGATGGATGTGATTTTACTCGAGTCCATCCAGGTGACGTTCTGTGTGTCTGCAGAGACTTGTAGCATTCCCAGAGTTGGTTGGTTCACGTGAAGGTAGATCCTAACTGTCCTGCCCCCTTCCTTCCCCGCGAGATTCATTGTGGAGGGCCTTTGAAAATGTGTCCTTCATCTGTTGATGAACTAATTCCCCCACTTCATCTGAAGTGCTACTGAGCGTTTTTGTCTGATCACGGTCACAAAACATATTTACGTGGCACGTTGGGTCTCGCTATTTCTACATTCGAGGGTGCTGTGCAGTTGGCCCATTAACACTCCTTGGCTTCATAAGTCATGACCTGATGAACCGTTGATGTGATGATGTTCATGACAGCCATCTCCCGAAATCTTTAGTTAAATATGTGTTAAATACGTGAAATCATCAGGGAGATCAGAATGCGACAATCTCTAGTTGCAGCTTCATAGCTCCTCATCTCGAACAGAAGCAGCTTGTATTCGTCAAAATGTGCAAAGAAACCCATATTTTAGAACCCTTGTCTACGTCATTTCAATGAAGGAAAATTGAGAACAGAGAGCAGAAGTGTGACATCGCGAAGTGGCATTTCTCTCATGGAGATATCTGGTCCTTGGAAACAGCAACGCCAGCACCAGCTGGCGAGAGTTGGCGTTCTTATGCTGATGTTGAGCTTGTGTTTTACTCTCCACGCGCAAGGTTCACTACGACACATGTTTCCTTTGCCACCCTGTCCAGCTTTCTCATCACTTTTCTCAAAATCCACAACCATTAGTGGCCAATAATGGTCGGATTCAGAGCTTTCTCAGGGATTTAAGATGCAGTTGAGGTCTACTGAATGGAAAATTCATAAGAGCGATGCTGATAGAACCCGGTGCACCGACTAGAATCAATCCATCATGTTCAAACAAACGGGATGTGAACACCAGCTGCAGAGATGTAAGATTGCCAAGTTTTGATTGACATTGGAATTTGGCAAATTATTGCGCAGATAAGACCGACGATTACATTACCACCGACACAGAGAACATCACCACAAGTACGAAGGTGGTCATCAGTGCGCCATATTCTATAATCTCGAGATCGTTGGGAGTATTCACCACAGGCATCCCAATCGAGCCCATCTACATCCAAGCACCATCAGGTAGTTCGAATGCCATTTCTGACGTGCACACGGGGACAATCTGCACTACGGGACCAACACGACAGCGTACACGGATTTGTCCATGGATTGAAATTTGGAATCAGGGGAAAAGGTTTGCGTCGTGCGCAGGGCTGGTGGCTTGGATGACGCTGCAGTGCCGCGGGGGGGCTGCTCGAATAACCCTGCCGAGCTACGCAGCGAACGATGTGCTGCTTCAGACTGATCCGACAGGGGAGTGGATGCGGGCAAACATTCCGCAGAACAGCGAGCAGGAGGTGACGGGACTGGGCATCAAGTTTCGGCAGAACATCTCCGTCGCCAACGACGCTCTTGCAACTCTTATGTATGGCAAAGGCTCTGGCAACGTTAGACCCCGCGCCATCGCCACAGCCATCTCTATAAGCCACACACACATTTATTTATAATATACACACATACATACACACAGGGTGCTGCGGTGTATTCACCGCAGGCATCCACATAGATGAATGAATACGTAGATGAATTCATGGATGAGTCTCTGAATGGATGAAAATTCGAATGATAAAAGGCTGCGACTGGTGTGGATGAATGATTGGATGGATGGATGAGCAGGATGTGGCGGGGTGGGCAACGATGACGATCACGTTGAACTGGGTGGCCCGAGACCCGAGAAACCAAGCCACTTCCATTCTCGCCACCTCCCGACGTATCCTCGTTTGGGCCCCAACGGCCTGTAAGCCCCCCCCCCCCCATAAGTTTAAAAAAAAACAAAAAATCGAAAGTTAAAGTTAAAGTTTTAAAAAGTAACCCCCATTACATATACACATAGCCTTCTTATATGTCTGTTTTTTTTTTTTTTTTTTTTTTTTTTTTTTTTGTTGGGTATTGTGCATGTCTTTAAATTTGAGTAATTGGGTATGAGAGTTTGACCCAATGTTACATCGAAAAGTTTGTGTAATGTGCTTTTGTTCTTTGATCTTTGATTTTGTTTATTTAATTTGGAAGTTTGGATTTTGGTGTGTAGGATAGTGACAAATCTTTCAACTTACCAACTCATGGTGGTGGTGGTGTGTTTGGTGGGCATCATTGGGTTGTGTTGCCTTGGATGTGCCAACTCCTTTGCCACCAAATACCTCCGTGCTTACAATGTCATGCGCGAAAGAGATGGCCGTGACCACCAAGAATGTGAGCAAACTAGGGTAATAAAACCCTTTTCATAAAAATCTCTCTTTCGTGACGATCTTATCATGTTGAAGCCCACGTTTTACACAACTAAATGTCATTCCTCAACCTCATCTATTTTACTACACACAATGTCTTTTAAAAACTATAAGTACATCCATTATTTCATTTCATAAATTTTGGAATTGTTAAAAGATTATTTTAAGAATAAGAATGTGACATATTCATCATTATTTTAGGAAAATCAACTTTTAATTTTTATTTATATATTTTTATTCCTAAATCAAAATAATAAAATTAAATAAAATAGAACTTGATGGATTAGGTTTTCAATCCAATGTGGATTCCAAGCCCCTTGAACACATTAGGATACTATTGCATTGAGTCAACTGCAAACCCACTGATTGTGTGTCAACAACGTTTAGAAATTAAATGCAAGTAAGTTTCATACTTTTTATTTTTATTTTGTAAGATTCTTGTATAATTTAAAACAATGATAGTAATAGATTATAGTTTACTTTACAATGTGAGTCACTTTATCATTTCCAATGTTCACATATTATTTTGACTTGTGTAGGATTTTGTGTATCATCAGTACATTCAATTTCATGGACAGGTACCCAAAAGACAGCCTCTGAATTTCCTATTCCTTCCTTATAAACCAATATTTAAGCATCATATTTGTTCAAAAAAAAATGATCTACACATTTGGAAATACATTATTCAAGAATTGAAAATAATTTATTCATATAAAATTATGGGATAACGACCATGAATTTGAATTCTTTCTTAATTTGCACACAGATTGTTGAAAGTGAAACATCTGAGGAACAGCAATTATGGATGGTCAAGTTATAAGAATTCATGCAAATTGCCTCTACTACTGGAAGATTATGACAGTGATGATGGAATGCTTCAAGGCTTTCAATACAAACATACTTCAAGATAGTATTTTTGATTCATTTGAAATTTCGTTAATCTAAGTTTCCTAGTTTGAATAAAGCCATTCTAATACACAAAATAAATAGGAGAAAATACATTCAAAAACATGTAATTATAATAAATTAATCTAGATAAAAATATTGCAGTATTTTGATCCTGAATTACAAATATAAGTTTATCCTGAAATTTATAGTTTCAAGTTAGTGATATTTATCATTAACTATGTCTTCATGGTATTATAAACCACATACATGCACATTGTTCTCCATGCATGTTGTGCTATATATATATATATATATATATATATAAATTTGTTTGTATATGTTTGAATCCAATTTTTTTCATTGTCAAGTTTCTATACACTAAAATTGTAATTATTTCAGAACTTTAACAATTTTTATTTTTATTTTTTGTCAGTTTCCATGATTTATTATCTGTAAATAACATTTGGAAATTTAAATTTTGGTGTGTTGTGTATAATGAAAATAATTTTAATTTGTTATATATATATATATATGAAATCTTGTTATAACCACCACTAGATTTTTGTCATTTGACATCCATCACCAACTTTAAATATGAAATGCATGCATGGTGTTAGTGCCCAATCAATTGTGGCATACTATCTTGCAAACAACATGGTCCAAAATAGTGCTTAAATTAAGACCCAAAATTTTGTACTACTTTATTTGTTAACCTCTTTTCATAGATGCAATGTGTGCACTTTAACAAGCATTACAGTTTTGTTCTATTTGCTTGCAACTAGGACAAACATATGTGGATTGTCAAAAAAAATTATTGATTAATTTTTCACATATTGTTTTATTTTAAATATGATTTTGGAAAACAATTGTAAACACATCAAATTACTCAATTATTTTTTAAAAGATTAAGTTATGAAGATTCAAGAATGATCTTGTTTCATTTTTCTCTGCAGTTGTGAGAGCTTCAAATTGAAAGTCCAAAAAAAAGGTTTACTATTTAATATGAAATGTGAAGTAAAACATTAAAATAAAAAATAAAAATGTTTTCTTCCATGTCTATGAATATATAGTGTCGATGTAGATAAATGCAGATATAGATTTTCGAATTAGATAGTTACATGTAAAATAAATACCCTCATAAAGATAAAGTATCAATGTGTACAACATAAATGTATATACTTATATTTTTCAGGTTTTACAAAATCTGAAATACTAATTTCAAATAATTTTATAATGATTCTTTGCCGTGTGTAGTTTTAATGTTGTACACAACATTATGTTTTGTAGAAACATAATATGAAAGTTCAAATCACTCGTATTCTATGTTTGGTTTGTGTACGTGTGAAAATATCAATCCGGATTTGAGTTCAATATTTAATTGAAAAATAGTTGTACTATTACTCATTTAAAAATTATGTAGTACTTCTTCCATATTTCATATTTTGATTTGAAATCAAATATTTAACATGGTTATATTTGACATGTTCATTGTTTCAAAAAAAAAATTAATATGTCACATAGAAATTTCTTAATTTTTCATACAACTTATGAATTCCTCATTTTAAAATAAAATTCTACATTTTGACCTTGAACTGTATAACTTTTACAGAATGTAACCAGGTGGCAGCAATTCAGAGCAGGAAGGCGTCGATCCACGGGGACCGGTGACCAGAGACAATACCGACAGACCTACCGCGACCACAGTTGCTTCAGTGTCGCAGTCGCTAGCATCGTCTTCACCTTCACATTCCCCTTGTTCATCACCTTCCCTTCATTCAGTTAAGTTCAAGTTCAGCGACATTGGATTCACAGCTGAATCTGAATCGGGGAAGTTCGTAGAGGATTCGATCGCCTATACTTAGCTCACCCCACGCTCTACCGCCAGATCTACAAGAATTGTTCAAAACCCAAGACTGTGAAGTCCAAGCTCCTCCGTTCATGCGCTCAGCGCCGAAGCCGTCGCTTCCGGCCCCGGGACAGCCGCAAGCAGGGTAAACATTGGGTTTTTCCAGGAGTTGAATCTCCGAGCATAAGGAATTGGGCAGACCCGGGTGGCGATGACTGAGAGAATCTTCGACGTCGCAGCGTCCCAAATTTGGGGCTAGCATTTTACTGAACCTACTTCATAGCTACGAAGCGTGTGCCGGGGGAGATGCGTGTCCAGCCGCTGATGCTTGTCCCATGCTGCCGCTCCCGCTGCTGCTTTCAGTGGCCGCAATGACAACGCAAATTGGCTCATAAACGGGCCCACCGCCGCGGATTAGTGCGGATTTCATTCCCATACATTCGATTGTCCAGCCGATCTTGCCTGTTGAAGAAACCATCATCTGGCACCGAACGACGATATGCATACGTTACTTTGTCAAACTTTTTATTTTTTTTTATCTATGGCCCACGTTGTGCACTATCAACATGGGGCCCTCCTTTTTGCACAACTTCACATTATACAATCACACTTTTGAAACGGTTCCAGTTCTTCGTCCCCTTGGAAAGTTGCTATTAGGTGATACTGTGAACTAACATGATTTTCGAAGTATTGTTTTTGATACACAAAAGGTTGTGCATGTCTGCTTCATTCATTCATCCGCTTTGTCACATATCTAATTTAACCATCATTGGAGGCAAGTATGAACTGATAGTTTATGGGGGTGAGGACAACTGGAATAGTGTATTATTTGAAAGGCCCACCAGCCAATTAGAGAGAGCGAGAGTCCCTATAGGGCTGGAGGAAAAAAAAAAGGTTAAAAGGAGGCTCCAAAAAGGTGCACTCAACTTTGTCTCTCACTTCGTTCTTAATGAGCTGCAGATTGACGTCCACATTCAGTGACTGCCTAGTTGAGGGGTTGTCACCTGGGATGAGGTGTTGAATGAGGGGATTACGTCACCTGGGATGAGCCCAATCTCTTGATATTGTGTTGCCTCTGGGGAAGTGGATTGAGGAAGTGGTTAGGAGTAGTTTTTGTTTTGTTTTGTATTTTTTTTTAGATTTTTAAAAAAGTGGGTTGAGGATTTTTTTTCCTGGAATAAAATAATTAAATGATCTATCATAATTTTTTTTTAGCAAGGTTTCATCTTTTTGTAATATGTGTATATTTACTCACACACACATAATGAGAGTGGAAAGAAGCTTTCCAATAAATCTCAATGGAATAAACAATGCTTGGAATATCATTAATGTAATTTTTTGAAAACAGTAAAACGAGTTATTTAAATGATGTGTTATTAGAGTATGTCAATATAATCGGAAGAAAATGAATGAATACATGTAAATACATATAACTAAATGCATCTACAATTTCATCCTGCTACATTTAATTGTTTTAAGTTGTGTGTGTGTGTGTGTGTTATATATGTTGAAAAATATTCTTTTATATAAAATATAATACTCATGTATGTACATACATGTATTTTTCTGGTTTTCAATAATAATATAGTTTGGTTGGACTGTTATTGCTACAATAATCAATGAAATATGAATGAACTATTCAAAAAAAAAATCAACTTTTACTTTTTAAGATCAATGTACACACAGTCATAAGAATACATTGTACTTATAAATTTGATAAATGTAGTCAAGTGGTCTTTACTATGGTTAACTTCTTTCTGTGTCTGTTTCTTTTTATTTATTTATTTATTTATTTATTTAAAACTTGTTGGTATTTTTGTCTTTTATGTCTATTAGACATGTTGACTGTGGTTTCTACAGTTTTTTTTTTTTTTAAAAAAAATACCCCTGAAATAGTGCTTATATTGCTTAAAATAAAACAGACATTCTCATTCTATTATATTTTGGTTATTTTTGGAAATGTGTGCCTATAACATGAATTCACAAATATCAAATGTCATGATTTTATTTATTTTCAGTCATGCAACTTGGATTGTTGGTGAGGATATATGTCAATGCTGTTTTGGTTACTTCCAACCTTGTGATAGAAACCCTCTCCACATGAAACTCAAAAAAGGCCTTGGATGTAATTTACATTAGAAACAAGGACTTAACTTTGCATATTCCACAACTTGCATTTATCTACATGAACAAGAATAATGCAATGCTTAGCTGATATGCTATGATGCAGATAAGAGTTTTCATTCCAGTCTTGAGTTGTTGTTGTTGTTGTTGTTGTTTTTTTTTTTTTTTTTTTTTTTTCTTTTCTATAAATTTTTATCTCATGAAAAATTTCATCAAAAAAACAATATTCACCCACGCACAAGCCAATTTTGAATTTAAGAAGAGAGTGTAAAAAAACGTCTAAAATACACATAAGAAAGAGAAGAAGATGAAAATTACGTGGCAGAAAGGGATTCCGTGCAGAGAAGATTCTAAGGAAGGAAGGATTATGACAAGAACAATTTCGGAAGTGGCGATGCATTGCATATGGCGAGAGCGCGGCCACGTGGAGGAGTACAGTCAGCTCCTTCCTCGTCAATTATACCGTCCACGTCATCCACCCCTGACAGAAGCCGCGACGTGTGAACAGTCCACGCAGGCCTCGAATGAGGACGTGGCATTATGCGACGAGGGTGGCAGCCACCGTGGACAGAGCCTACGTGGCAGGAAGGAGGGAGGGAGCCTTTGACGGAGGGCGTAGGTGTGAACGGGAGATGGGGGAGCGTGGCGGGGAAGGCTGGTTCCGTCGTTCGTTCACATCCGGCGTTCTGTTTCCGTTCACTTTGCCTTAGCCTTTGCCTTTGCGAAGCTGGGCCTAGCCTTGCTTTGCTTTGGTTTGCTTGGCCTTTGTCTATGGCTTTGCCTCGCTGCGTCTGATTCGTATTATTGAGAGCTTCGTTGCTCCACCTCCGTTGCTTTGCCTTGCTTTGCCTGGAGGGCATCTCCAATTGTTCACCTGGGGCATAATTTCGGTGACGTTTGCCAGGATCATTCTTTCCGCGTCGCTGGGCTGCAGAGATTTCTGGTCTGTGGGTTCCGTTTTCGTGGCGATCGGTAACGGGTGCTGCGTAAGGCGGCGTGCGGAGAGAATCTTAGATTCGCGAGCGTGTATCGAATTCTCAAACTCGCTTCGGCTTCATCTCTCGGTCCTCAATTGGTCAATTGCAAGAGATTTACGATTGATGGATTAGTAGCGCTTGGGGCAAAGGGAAATTATGCTGGTGGAGAGACTTTCCAACGTGGCTTGTGTAGCGTGTTCGGCCAGGTGCTTGTTTCCGTTTGCCGACCGTTGCGTGGGCTGTGAAAGGGTGAAGAGTTCGCGGGCAGTCCGTGATCAGTCAACGTGTTTCGACAACGTTTTTGCGTCTCTAATTGGCGAGTATCGCGCGGGAGTTGTTATTTTTTAAAGCCCTCCGTCTGTTGATCGGCGTGCAACGTTGTTGCTTCAGTATCCTACTCGAATTCGCTCATGTGGCCTTGCAACCACGCCTTCCTGCTTGGGACCTTTGAGAATTGTGCTCGTGAGCCTGACGATGCGCTGAATTCGAACGAGCAACTCAGCAATTTGATTTAAGACGACTGCACGGTGTGATACAATTGTACGCTCAGTGTGGACCTTTCTAAGTTTACGTCCCGTCTTTCATAGTAGTCTATACTTGCACACCCTCATATCTCCGAAGTTCGTCGCACCTGTTAGTGGGTTTGTTGGTCTCATCTTTGAAATTACTCCCTGTTTCACAAACCATTTGTACGGCTGTAAGCGCTGATATTTTAGGGCGTTTTGGCTATATTACTTATGCCCATCTTTTCCGTTTTTTAATTTTAATTTTTACTGGTATCGTAAATATATATATATATATATATATATATATATATATATTTTCCTTCTCTCTTTAGGTTGTATCGCAGTTCATTTTGCTGTTGTACCAAAAGTCTTAGCCCTGTGCCGTGTGACTCACATGTATGGGATGCACATGGAATTTGCAGAGTATAGGCGTGCCTTGGAAGTCGCAATTGGGGAGTGGGTGCACCATTTCTGCAAGGGAGGTTGATAAAAATAGATCGGTATGGCTTCCAGAGAAGGTGAGCACGATTTCTGATGCACGTTTTCTGTTTCACTATTTAATTTTTTTGATTCTAAGCGTTTGCTTGTTGAGATGGAACTTTTCTCTATTCTTGACATTTATAATTTAAGAATGTTTTTTAGGTTAATCTTCGCGTTTTAGCAATATTTTCTCTTCTTTTGGAAAGTTTGTGGAATACAATCTTTCATTAGGGTATGCTAAAATAAGGTTGTGTCCTCTCCCATCTCTCCCCGCTCATTGGTGGGTAGGTTTCTCGTAGGATTATCTGTTCCTTTATAATCCACGCTTGGAGAATTATGAGGTGGGCTCCTACTCGAGTACGAATTTAGTGTAATTATTTTATGTGTTTCTGCGCAGTCTGAGTCGGGATTGCAAATATTTTAGACAAACAGCAGTTGTTCGAAATTTCCAGCTCTAGAAGGTTGGTTCAGAATTCAATCGTCCAGACTGAGAGGGTTTCTTACTTGTCTTGAAGCACTTCACCAAAAATTATTGTTTCGCCCTGATGCACTCATGACCCTTAGTTCAGCAGCATCGAAGTTTCACTAATAGCTCACATCTGATCGTAGGAAAGGATAAAAGAATGTGAAAAAAGAATCTTCTTCTGAATTTCAATCGAAAACCATTCTGTCAAACTCGGAATCAACTGCCTGCAAAACTTAAGGTTAAGTAAGAAGACATAATTAGGTTTTCAGTTTTGTTGCAAAGCTGTAGCGATAACTACAACCCAGAATACTCAACATTTGTGAGACTTTGACTCTACACATGCCGAATTGATCCCATGTGAAAATGGATCTGCAATTTGGGTAATTCGGAGTTTTACAATGGCAGGAATCCTCAGCATATGTTGGTTGTAAGGATTGAAATGATTGAAGTGTTTAAAGTAAAGAGATGTATGGATTGGACCTCGTCCAGGGCAAGTGTCGTGGAAGAAGATGATGCAGACAAGGGCCATCGAGGTTGATTTCGAGGATGCTGATACCGAAATACAGGTGGTAGATACGGTGCAGTCCAAGTGGCACGATATACCCATGGAGTTGCTAGTTCGGATTTTAGCACTGGTGGATGACAGGACGGTAGTGCTGGCTACGGGGGTGTGTGCTGGGTGGCGAGATTCGATTTGTACAGGCGTAATAGGCATTTCTTTTAATTGGTGAGGTTCATAGTCCTTTCATCTAATTTATTCTTGCACATCAATATGCTCAGGTCCCCTCCCCCCCTGTCTTCTTCTTCTTCTTCCATATAAAAAGATAAAAAAACACTAATTGTAAGAGAATGTGACTTGATTGTGCAGGTGTAAACGGAATGTGAGCCAACTGGTGCCTTCCGTGGCGCATAAATTTTCCCGCGTCGAAAGTTGTAGCATTCGACGCTGTACGTTTCTGAACGATGATGCAATAAAAGCGGTCGGAAGTCACTGGCATGATTTGAGATCTTTGGACTTGACAAACAGCGCACGCCTTACAAACATTTCCTTAGTCGCTCTTGCCGACGGTTGCCCTTTACTACAGAAGCTAGATCTTAGTGGCTGTACTGGCATATCTGAAGCTGGACTTGTTGAACTCGCACAGCATTGCAAGGACTTGCGGCATCTAAACATTTGTGGCTGTCATAACGCCGGCTCTGATGCTGCTCTGGAGGTAGTCTTTTTGGTTGTGATTCTTCGAATGCCGCATTTGAATCCTAAAAGTCATGACATTACATATGTATATATACACACACACACACACATACACACCAGTCTACTAAAGCTGGCTGCTTTGCTAACAGATTTTACTAATTGTGTTTGACAGGCTTTGGCTCAAAATTGCAGTGCTCTCCGTTACTTAAATGTAGGATGGTGCGCACAAATCACAGACGTGGGTGTGACTGCATTGGCCCTCGGCTGCAGCGATTTACGATTTCTGGACTTTTGTGGGTGCCTACAGATCACAGGTTTGTAAGAACATCAAACTTAGCTATGTAAAAATAGCTAGCTCCATTTCGAGATCTCGTATGGATCAATTCTTCGAACGTACCTTTCGTACTCGAAATTGTTGACAGACGCAACGAGGGTCTGCATCTGCAGTCAGTAGCACACTATGGATCTTCCTTATTCAGTATTACTTGGTCAGAATCCGGCCATTAACTTTTGCTCCTCACTCCAGATCAAAGCGTAATTGTGCTAGCCGATCACTGCCTCCGTCTCCGAGTCCTGGGCTTCCACTGCTGTCGCAACATCACCGACCTCGCCATGTACGCCCTCGTAAATGCCAGCAAACGTAGGGACACGTCCCGGAGCAACAAGCGGTCCAGCAGCACGAGCTTTACCACAAGGGTGAGAGAAGGTGCCGAATGCTACTCCAGCAGCAGCAGCAGCAGCCGAAGCTCACTCCCATGGAGCAGTCCAGGAAGCTGTTGCAACGACACCAATGCCGCGAGCTTCTCCAAAATCTCAGATGGGGGCTTCGACACGTCCTACTTGCCAGATCCTGCAGGGCACGGCTTGGTAAATCTCAACATCAGTGGGTGCACGGCCTTGTCCTCCCAAGCTGTACAGGCCGTCTGTGACGCATTTCCTCAACTTCACACATGTCCTGAGAGGAACTCGTTACTTATCGGCGGGTGCCTCAATCTCACCAGTGTGGGTTGCATCTGTGTGATCGAAGCACGCCGCGAGCGGTTGAATCGGATCTCTCGTGCTGCCGGCGACCCTTCCTACCCACCTCCTTGGTCATTGTAAAGCTCGGATTTTTAGGACGCCATACATGGTTTTGCCTTTTGTATCTTCCGTGTGTATAGTCTCCTCCCCACATTCATGTTTAACAGTGTTGTACATTACTTATCCTATTCTGCTTTCGTTATTCTCAGTCTGTTATTACTGTAAGTAGTTCTATTTTTCTGTCTTTTCCTTTGCTCTGTCTTACACATAAATTTTCTTCCTAACTGGGTGGTAGAGGAGGTTCAAGGACAGTGCTCTTTTTGGGGGAGAGACGAAGACGATCTCGGAACTTCGTTTATGTCGTGCAAGTTATATTTATTCGGAGAAGCTTTTGCGGTGAGATCCGATTACATTAGCTCGCAGTTGGACGTGAGAGGACAACTTGCACAGTTTTGTTGTTCCCCAACTGGAAATCATGCATTGTTTTATTTCTGCTGCTGCTGCTTCTTCTTCTTCTTCTTCTTCTTCTTCTTATGTTTGATTGTTTCTTTTTTAATTATTTTATTTTAAAAATCGTTAGGGCGTAAACAGAAACATTAGACATAAATTTGCTTCCACTTGGCGTGGTTAAAACCAACAAGTCTTAAGCTGCAATTTAATGGTAAATATGTTGTGTTGGTATTCATGGTTTTCTACACAAGAGGAAGCGGAGTGTCTAGCCAATCGAAATTCAAATGAAACATTCATTGAACCTCTAAAACAAACATAATTTTTTAAAAATGTACATACTGTTAATGGCACAGTGGTTTTCTGGATTTGGAACAAGACATGTACTTTATTTTTTTTAAATCATGATTTTTGAATTAAAAATGAAATGTTTTCATTCTTCAATACATCTATTTACTGATTTCAATGGATAATTCAACAACGATTCTAATAATCTGAGTAAAACATTAAGACATTTTCAAACAGTTCATTTATTTATTTAAAAATATAATAACCATTATTTATGATCTGGTTTGAATAGTTGTTAAAAATAACGAAAGTACTTTGAAGTTGATGTAGATGTAAAATATTCTATTCAGTATATACACAATTTTGTAGGCAAAGTAGTTGAATTGTTTTACATGTTTAGGACAGGCTCTTTTTGACTTGGTGTTAAATTTAAATATCAAATATTAAAATTATAGTAAGTGGTGAAGACTTAGATGAGGTGTAAGTCTGATTATTTATTTGATAATTTTTTCCTACAAAAATGAAGTAATTCAAAATAATTGGGAATAGAAACAATTTCCAATTATTATTATAAAGGTATTGATACAATACAGAAGTAGAACAAATTCTTAAATTTTGTATTTTGGAAAAAGAATAAATTCAAAAACTAGAATTTAGCAATTGTTGTGACTATATATATATATATATATATATATAATATTCTAAAAATGAGAAGATGTTGAACAATATTTGTATGCTAGAATAATTCATAAAACTGATAAGCAGTAAAAACTTCATAGAAGGATATAATTTGCTTATGTATTTGTCTTTTATTTATATCTAAATGATTTTTCAAAACTACAATTCAATCAATGTCGGACAATTGATATGTGAGTTATTTGTTTTTGTTTTTGTTTTTTTTCTAATCTACTGTACTGTAAATGTGAGGAATTGACCTACCTAATAGAATGAGAAAGACGCAGAGGAAGAAGTTGATAAAAAAAAATTACAGCAGGGGGCTCACAATTTGCAAGACTAATAATCCACATAGAACATTGTCATTATAAAAAAGAACCATGGTACATACAAAGTCTAAATGATTTTTTTTTTTTTCATTTGGGGACTTCGCCCACAGAAATCCCTCAACAGTTGATGTGGGTATCAATTAGGCTCCACACAATAACAATAAATATTTATATTAGAAGAACAAAATTGGAATATATGTGGATATATATATATATATATATATATAGAGAGAGAGAGAGAGAGAGAGAGATTTATTTTTAAGTTCAAAATTTTGATTTAAGATAAGAATAAAATACATATTTACATTTGGGTTATTATGTAAGTCTTTTCAAAAACAATTAATTGATAAATTACTAGATATGATTATAAATTATTTTATAACCTTATACTCTAAGATTTTTGCAAGTCAATATATGGTTACAGCACTTGATTCAAATTAGAAAAAATATATATTTAATAAAATTTATAACAAGAGAAAATTATGTTGTAGCGTTGTTATTCAAAATGCTGTATCTACTTCAAGCTCATTTAATTGGTAGAACTACTTTCAAGTAATAATTTGGATTTTTTTCAAATCTCTTATTATATTGTAATTATTTCTAAAATTAATTTATATAAATATTATTTTTTTAAAACAAAAAAACGTTAATACAAAGTTAGTTAAGAATATTACTAATTATTTTCCTAATCAATCCTCAAATAAAAACTGTTGTAATATTTTTTAGGATGCACCATAGCTCTCTTTAAAACAGCAAATATGGCTCTTCTGGCTCATGTTTTACACACAGAACAAGATCCACCTTCTCTGATGCCATGGAGCATCAGATGACTCTAACATATTTTATAGAATTACACTTGACACTGAAAAATTATTGTATTTTTTTATGAAAAGTCCTTCTACATAGTATTAAACTATCTATTTTTTTTACATTCCAATAGCATTAAAAAAATCTTTTAAATAGTAAAAGCCTCCATGTTATAAATAATATTAATGCTATATTAAAATTTATCATTCCTAAATATTTCTCTTAATAATAAAGTATATTAAAAAATTCCTAATTCAATCTAAAATATTATTGTATGAAATTTAATGCTAATGATAAAGCAACTTAAAAAGTTAAATATTAAAAAAAGAAAAAGTAAATGTACACAATTATTTATTTGAACACATATAGACAAACATATGTTTATAATGATATAGAATATTTAAAACTTAAATTAAAATTTTATCAGCATATTGAGTTTAATAGTGTTTGTTGAATGATTATATATATATATATATATATATATATATATATAAACTATGTAAATTGATTAATGAATAACAATAAAGATATATTAAATCTATATAAATTAGTAAATTATAATAAAAATGATATATACATATACATATATGCATTCATATAAAAAAATATTAAATAAAACACATAAATGATTTTATAAAGATACAAAGAAATAAGAAATAAAAATGAGAGTTAAGAATGTCATATAGAAGGTGCAACATTTGATGGAGTTGGTTGAAATTATATAGTTAAAAAAGAAAAAAGAAAAAAGAAAAAATAAAACAAAAAAAAATTAAATTAAGTTTTACATATTTATGCTAAGAGAAGAAGATAATATTTCATTATTTCTAATTTATTTCTTTCAAAGAGATTGAGAAGCAATAAGCAAGGAAGCACGAATTAGAGACATATGCATTGATAAAGCAATACGAGAGAGACAAAGTGAGAAGAAATTGCAAGTTATATGTATATATTTAAAGAAGAAGATGTTGTTATGTTGTTCTTAGTAAATTTTTCTGAAGTAATTGAAATGATGCTCAAAGTAGAGACGCACATGTTTATAAAGCAAAAAAAATAAAAACAAAAAATAACAAAACAAACAAATATCAAATAAAGAACTAATAAAAGATAAGGAATAAGAATAGAAGAAGAATGTAAAGAAGAGAATCTATGGTGGAAGGAAAGAGGCATCTTCTAGAATATTTTGCAAGTAAAATATTATAGCTTTATAAAAAATTACAAGTACAATCAACAATAAATTGAATTAAAAAAATTACCAATAAAAATATCTTCTAATTAAAGTTGGTAAAAATGCACAATAACTCTGTTATAATATGTGGACATATTGACGTCATGAAAAGTTAAATCCACAAAAATTTAGAATATCTATTACTAAAAAGCATATTATTTTAATTTAAAATTTTGATTTTTAATTCTAAAATTTAGTAGAGAATAATCTTGTTGTGTAGGATTCACTTGTAAAATCTTTTCAAAGATTAAATATAATAAGAAATGAGCAATGACATTCTTTATTAAAATAGACGATTTTTATAAATCAAAAATAGAAAAAAATATAAAATATAAAATAATATTTATGTAAATGAAAATATTTTGTAAAGTTTTATTAGTATAATATTATTAAATACATATAAAAGTTATTTGAAGATCTTTAAATTTTACTATATATATATATATATTAATAAAATTTATTCAAACTAAAGTAAAAAAATTTGTATAAAGATGACGTAATATAAGAAAAGAAAATTAATCAAGAATCACTTTTTTTTTAAAGCACTTATGATTTCTTTCTAATTTTTTTATTTATCTTATATATATATATATATATATATATATATATATATATTCTAAAAATATTCAATGAACTATTTAAATTGTTTCAAAATTCATGGCATCAAGAATAAAAACAAAGTTCTTTAAAAATATTTTTTAAAAAATAGATAAAAAAATATATAATGTATTTTATGCCAAGAATTTAGAATAGAGTCTTAGTTCTTTGTAATAATGTTAAAATAAGATACAACACTATATTTTATTTCAATTATATTAATTAAATATAATTAGACATCATAGTCTTAAAATTTAACTACTCTTCTGAAAACTTGGCTTTATAAGAAATATTTCACAAACTAAGTATCTAATTAATATTTTTAGAATTTTACTTTATCTACTCAATCCAATAAACTTTGATGTTAAGCAACAACTAAAATCAAGCACCCTTCAACTTTAACTTCTAAAATTGATCAATCCAAAAATACTTAAAGAGCCAAAATCTTACATCCCATATCACACAATATCTATGCAGAAATCTATTGTTGCTTTCAATATAATGTAATATATTGAATTTTTAGGTCTTTTGCAAGTATTTTTTTAACATTATTTTTTAAGGTGGGCATATAATATTTAAAATAAACTTAGAAATTAGAAATTTATCTTTGAATTTGAAATTTCATTTAATGCTAAGTTGTGCTAGTATTATTTTATAAATATGTAGTAATTTATTTTAAATTTTCTCTTGTATTTTTTTACAAAAATCTTGTAGCTTTTTTAGTAAATGTTTTATACTGAATCTAGCCCTCTTCTAAAACTAGCATTAAGACAAAAGAAAAAAAAACATTTGCTTATTGATCAACTTAATCTTCCATTCTTCAACAATAAGTTTTAAGCTCATTGTGAATCTTTATTGTAATGTTTTTTTATGCATGTTAAACTTAAAATTTTTAGGAAAAATATCTAAGCATGCTAAAAGAAGAACACAATAATTTGTTAAAATTAAAATGATTTAAACCAATTTTTCTCTTCTAAAAATCATAAAACTTGATATTGATATGTGATCTATGCTTGGTAGTTGTGCTTACACTCCATTACATGTGACTTCAAACATGCTACCAAAGCATCTTGTTGACCCCATTCTTTTCATCTTCTCTTTTCTACTCTTGGGTTCTCTTAAATCCTTATATTCTCTTCTTTTACAT